AAAGCATAATTGTAGGTATTTTGTTCAACAATTTGCATGGGATTTGGTACAAAGATATTTTTTCACAGGTCACATATGTATACATACAAAAATGTGGGATATGCCCATTTTTGGCTTTTTTGTTTGGGGGGGGGTCAAAAGGTCAAATAAACCCATAAATGTAAGGGTTAGGATCTATTTCTTGACCATATTTCAAACAATGTATGTGTGATTTGATACAAAGATATTTTTTGCAAGTCCTAAACAAGGACATAGACAATTTTAGAGTATTTGTCTTTTGCTCCATTTTTCTGTAAGGAAAGCACAATTGGGTGTTTTTGTGAACTATTCATGTGTATGTCAACCAACTTATTTGGGATTTGGTACAAAAATACCTTCTTGCAGGTCCCAAGCAATGGTATAGACAGTTTTCAATTTTTCTGGTGTCAAAATCGGCCATGTTTGGATTGCATGGTAGAGACATGTTGCCTACGCCTGCAAATGTTGGCCTCTTTAATTTGAATATGTCTTCTTTGTTTTTAACAGATTAGACCTTAATGTTAAAGAATATTCTTATTTTTGTAATATGCATTGTGTGCTATCTATCACTTAAACTGAAAGTTTGAAATATCAATAAAATGTAATTTGAAATGCATTAAAAGAATACAGGATTCATGTAAAATACTGAATAGCAGTATGCTAGAGAATATGGTTCTTACACCATAGAAATTAGATAAGACCAATTACCATAATGCAGTTTAAGAAAGGGACTTAAGATTCTTTGGCAGCACTTCGACCCTGCTTCTGCCTACTTTCTGGCATTGTTATCTGATCTGACCTATTCTTGTATTAAAAAAACTAGTTTAAACTTGCATTCCTAATGCTATAAAAACATTTTTCACTCAGTATGCATATTTGATTGTGACACATTAAAATGTTATTTCATAATATGAATTTGTTTCTACAATAATGAATAATGTTTTGATCTTTCTAGATGTGGTTATGCCACTATTCACAATGTCCAGGACAAAAGTCTGGAAGATCGAATGGAAAGTTTCTTTTTAAGTGAAACCTGCAAATACTTGTATCTTGTATGTATGTTTTTAAGTTTTTTTATCAAGAAATGTTGCCAATATATTTATTTTAATATTTAATGGATAGATAACTAAGCAAGTGTAATACACTTACTCTTGCTCAATTATCTATTGAATAAATATTGAAATATTGTTTAAACAGTAAGACATAAATTATCTAAATTAGAAAAATATTAAGTATTTATTATGATTATAGCTTTAATTATTCTTTTTAAAATCTTTGTGTTTTTGATTGAATACGTATTTTTATAAAAAGAATAAAATCAGCAACTTTTAAAATAGCTTATATCAGAAATAAATGTAATTTATTTATTTTGCTCTGACAGTTATTTGATGTGAACAACCCATTGAACCGCCACTTCACAGACTATCTCTTCACCACAGAAGGTCACATCTTCCCAATTGACTGGAAGTACCGTGCAAAACCATGGGATTCAGATGACAATAATAATACTGAATCAGCAGAACCATCTAGTTATAATAGATATACTCGGTGGAAAGAGATAAAGAATGGATTAGAAGTGAATGAACAAGATGTCAGCACAAGGACTGTGGACCTAAGAATGAATAATTCCACCTATACGCAGGTACTTGGATATTTATAGTAGTGAAGGGTTGTTTAATGTTTTTTATATACCAACAACAGATAACTTATAAAGAAAATCAGTTTATTTAGCTCAAAATTAATTGTTTACAGATATAAGATAAACAAGTTTGAGACTATTTGAATAGTTTTTTTTTATTAACTAAATGATTGTGCTTCATTTTATAATGTTTTTCATAAGTTATAATAGTAATAAAAAAATTGTGTGCATTTTTCCATTCAAGACCATTTGTTGAATGCAGCATCCTTGAATGTGTTGGACACTTGTCAAACTGTATGGAAGTATATCTAATGTCTATTATTACATGTAGTTTTAATTGAAATATGCTAAATGAAATTAACATATATATATATACTCAAAGATGAATACATTGTATTGAAACAAATTTGAATATGCAAATTAGTAAGTCATATGACATCCACAGCCAGTATGAAGTTGTGATGAAATGACATGTATCAGAACTACATTTCGACATTATTTGGCATTTTGTAGTTAATCTGATGCTTTCAAAAATTAATTACTTTTGGGAAGGGTATTTAACAACCATTTCTAACACAAAATATTCATACATTCAGATCATAAAAATGTGTTCACATTGGTGATTTAGAACTTCCAAGATGTGAATATCCCTTGTACTTAATGGCTAACTAAGTTGGAAAACTAAGGAATATGGATCAACTTGGGAAACCAAGATGATCTAGAAAGAGACCTGCAACAAGTTTGTACTCCTACTGTGGTAAGAAAAGTATGGTGTCTTGTATGGTTAGAACCCACAAACAAAAAGGTTAGTGGCAAAAGCCGTCCATATGTCCCAGGTAATAGCATATTCAAGAAGGATTTCCATCTGGAAAAGTGACACAATTTATATGTATACAAGTTACTTCCACAACGTATCAGTTCAACTATTGTATACCTCAAGCACCTGGTTAATAAAATGGATATTCATTTCATACTATCCCACACACAGACTGGAAAAAGAATTCTTCTAATGCTTTTCCATGACCTTATATCAATACATTTGAACACTTAATAAATAATTTTTCTTCATTTGTAGTGTGCAAGAATTCCATCAGAGAGACAGTTTTTGCTGCCATTAAAACATGAATACATGCAACAAATAAGTCAAGCATTTGGGCTAGATGTCTAGCCAAACAGAGGTCATAACATTACCTGTTCTAACTTAAACAAAGGTTCTTTCAAAAGCCTTGAACTGAGTGGTTACATCATACTGTGGAATCCAGAAGGGACTGCATTCCAGTTATCAAATCTGTAGTTTATTTTTATCTTTTGTAAAGGGTGACTTCATAACTTGATGGTTTTTTTTTGTGTGCTAGTGTGTTGTGAATTTGTCTAATTTTTCTTGTGTGCTTGAATAAAAATATTTTTTGTAAGGGAAGTGATTTAACTTTCTAAAGAAAATTTTGCATGTATTATTGGTACTTAAAGGAATGATTTTTTTTTAATTTATTGCTGCATTGTTAAATTGAAAATATGTGGTAACTCAGATGATTATGTATATTTTTCTAAAATTTCATTATTCATGTTTATCCTTGTGCTCAATAAAAAAAAATATATATATATTAAAATATATTTAGTAAAGTTTAAACAAGACATGATTTATAATGTGAATTTCCAGGCCAGAGTTTCTGCTTAGAATATAGTCACTTTTTGTGTTGGAATTTCTTATTTTTATATGGAAGTTTCAAAGGTCAACCTTTGGTAAGACAATCTCTCTCACTCTCTCCACTTTCTAAGGAAGACTTTTAACAGTTTAGTAAAAGTTAACAACAGTAATATTTCAGCTTTGTTTAAAATTGTAAAAAAATATTGACATGCACATTGTTATTTAAAGAGATTTGAAAAAGTACATAAGTTATATTTATTATACTATGTGAACATTATAATGTCTATAGGAAAAATAATAGTTTTGAGTGAAATAATGAAATGAAATTCATTTCAAAACACTAAGATATATCAATACTGAATGCTTGATTTACTGCTTTTTGAGATTAAATCATGTGATTTTTGTGTGGTAGTCTGGAAATATTTGGGGTAGTTTAATGATATCAGAAATGCCTTTAAAAATAGTGCCTAGGATTTTAAAAGAAATTATGTTTTAAAAAATCAAAACAGTTTAGGGAAGTTGAAGTTTTGTGTATTAATGATGATAATTGAAGAAATATTTTTAATGGTACTCTTAATGAACTATTTATTTTTTCTTCTGTGTAATAGTTTCATCTAAATGCTCAGGTGTTTTTTTTTTCTTACAGTCTATAAGAAAAGGAAAAATTTATAGTAATTTTTTTGTGGAAGATAACTACATGTTAACAATAAATATGCATAATAGTTAGTTGTTGTAGCTTTTAGTTGTTATGTAAATAAACTGTTTAAATTCTTCAAGATGTATTTTTTCACTTAGTGAAAACATTAGATAGTTTGAATATATACAGAATTTTTTATGTGGTATAATCTTAAAATTTGATTCACCTCTAACAAATAGTTTACACCCTACTAGTCCCCTGGTCGGATAGTGGTAGGTCTACGGACTTACAATGCTAAAATATGGGGTTTGATTCCTGTGGTGGACACAACAAATAGCTCAAAGTAGAACAACCAATAACAATAACACCCTACTAACTTTCATTGGAAAATATTTACTAGATGCCCCCCTAGGTTTAACACATCAAATCCCTTTCATTTCCCCTCCCTGGCCTGGTGGATCCTAAGAGTGCACAGCAGGTTTGGTGACAGTCAGTCCAATGGCTCACCAGACATATTTGCCCCATATATATTTATCTCGTTTACTACTTGACTTGTATGTTGCTTTTCTTTCATGGCAAATTTATTTCTAGTACTTACTTAATGTCATATCTACTTTAGCAACAGCACTATCACAGTGTTGTACATCTTGTATTTAATAACATAACATAATGTTTTGGGACATCATGAGACCTATTGGTCCATCTCGGCTATTGCATTGTCCAAACTAAAACTATTAATAAATTAATTAAAAAAAAATTTTTAAAGCCAGCCCTTGTCATTCATATACTTATCAACCTTTCTCTTAAACTCACTTAAATTTACTGCATCCACAACATCCAAAGACAACCCATTCCAAAGGCCAACCACCCTGTTAGAAAAACAAAACTGTGTTAGCTGAAGATGACTCCTACCCTGCCAAAATTTATATTTGTGTCCCATAGTTCTACTGTTCTCACTATTATGTATAAAGAAAGATGATGCATCAACACTATCAATTCCCTTTACAATCAGATCCCTTCTAACTCTTCTTTTTTCAAGAGAAAACAATTTGAGAGCTTTCAGTGTCTTCTCAAATGACAACCTTTCCATCCCAGGCACCATTCTAGTAACCCTCTGAACCCTTTCCAACAATTCAATGTCTTTCCTAAGGTAAGGAGCCCAATACTAAACACAATACTCCAGTGTCACCTAACCAGTGACTTGTACAATGAGATTATAACCTTTTTAGACTTGTATTCAATATCTCTCTAGTTACAACCTAAAATCCTATTTGTGCTACCACTAGCAACAGCACACTGCTTGGATGGCTTAAGAGACTGATCAACTATTACACCAAGATCCCTTTCTTTCATGATACTGTTAAAGTTATTCCCATCCATATCATACTTATAATTCAAATTATTATAACCC